AAAAAAAATAGCATAACCGACCACTAAGCACAAGATTTGAACATCCGTAAATATACAGACGATTCCGATGATTCTTTGCTTTTGAGCCCCTTCACAAATACTTCTTAGGTAATAGAACCTAGCACTTCCGTCGCCTTATTTAGTTATTCACTGATTTCTCATAAGCGCAAATAAATCAAGTGCTCTTATAAGAGTTCGATATGTTAAAACCAAACTAACATTGAGATACTGTAGCGCAAATTTTTCCGAACACACCTATAGATTAGTAAATAAGTCGGTGACCCTATGTCACAAACCTCTTTCTTTACGTATTGATTCCATTTGCTGCTTGAAATGTTCACTAGCCATATCGATCAGTGAGATGATTTTAGTAGTGGCGGCAGCTGACTGATCTGATGATGATGAATTATTCGAGCCATTTGATCCGCCACGTTCAGATATTGATTGATTAGGAGAGATCTGAAAAGTTGAAGTATAGGCCCCAATCGATTATTTCTAATGATACACAAACATCGCCTTCTTTCCGCATGTTCTCCAGTGAGTCATTGTCGCTGGTTTCAGAATTAGAATTTGTTTTTGAAAGATTTAGGGGAGCTCCTTCCACTTCAGCGTCTGCCGACATGCCCATGTCAGAAGTCGTGCTGAAAAGTTAGCATCGACAACTGTTTGAAATGCGTTTCCTTCGGAAAAAAAGCTTGTTTGTACACATTTCAACCATATAGATCTTCGTTTAATTTACTTTAGAAACTATGGCAAATATTAAGAAATTACGAAGATCCTCGCATTACGTAGGTTGTGCTAATTCCGTAATTAAAGCTTGTCACCATCTCAACAATTTATCTAATGAGTTACCATAATTATACATTGCAGTAGGATGGACACATGGAAGCCAACGTAGTAGTGGGCGGCAATGATCGTTAATGTAGCGAACGGCAATAATTGGCAAGTAATCGAGCGGTTGGTTCTGTACAGGTGACTACAAACGCGGAGTATCGCCTTCATTGCTTTAATATAGGCCATCCCTATATGGGTAATAGATCTCTCCCTAATTGAAGAACATCAGTTGGCAGGCGTTGCAGTCACCCATGCTCATAAGCAAAATCAGTAATTATAGCTACGGCGGCAGATGTTCTTACTCGCTGCGACTCAGAGGCGTTAGCAGTTGCACCACCGCCATGCCTGCGACGTCACTCTTCTCTTGATCAAAGAATCGGTTGAAACATAAGTGCTTCCTACTTTAAATCAACTTATTTGTGAATTTGTAAAATACTTTCGTTCTAAAGCGCTAACTACACTTTGTTGACATTACTGTAAATTCCTAAAAAGGGAGCTTGAGAAGAAAACAGTCGAAAAGCCGGCCACGCTCCTTCCCTTTTTTTTGCGATTTTTTTTGCTGAAGAGTAAGTCAAGAAAATCACAATTACAAAATTTTTTTTTCAAAAAGTCATTATCTTATTTTATAGACCTGCCATTTCAAGTTAACCCCCTCTACAGACGAAGTTAAGTCTATAAAAAGCATGCCACAATGGTGCACATCTTGTCAAAGCAGCGTGCTATCCTTTCAGAAGCGCTTGTAATGCTAAATTGTTGAAATAAAGGACGTAGAATACTCTAGGATTCGTGCTTTTAGGAGGTTCAACTTCCCATCCTTCTCGCCATTGCTACCCAAAATTTGGTCCTAAAAAAGAATTGCGACGAGACCTACCAAATTTCTGGTTGTTTTTGTGCTGCCGCTAATGCCATCATATGTTGAACCAAAAGTTGTTGAGCACTGAATTGTGGTAGAAATTGGCCCAAGAACAATGGATTCAGAGGTGAAGCACACGGTGCTCCGCCAAACGATTCAGCATCTCCTCCGCATTGCTGCTGTTGTTGATCTATAAACTAATGGCGATCTTTCTAGAATCAGCAATAAAAGGATTATGGTACCCTCGAATTTCTCACGTTTCGCTGCCCACTCCTCCACTGCTGAAGCGCGTTT